GCTGGACCCTGTAATGGTGCCGTCTCCTGACTGCTGCAAGTACCTGCGTCCTCGGCGCGGTTACCATCCTTTTCTTTCAATTCCCAATTCGCGAATTAATACACTCATACTATGACTGAACTTCACAAAATCTACCACCTTCAAAACAAACTTCCTCTAAAAATCAAAGATTCGACTTCCGCCACCATAGTATCACTCAAAATTGCCAACCCACCTGTCTATATTATTGCCCCGCTCTTCTTCATGGCGGTTTGTAAACAAAAGACAGCTCATCTTTTCTGTCAAACTCTGTATATTTTTACATTCAAATTTTTAGATGTCTTTAGATTTCTTTAATTTCTTCATTGTAATAATTTCTAACTAAAATCGAATTGATTAATTTAATTACCTTTTCCTTTTCCAAATTTCTAATATTGTTATCTTCTAAACGTTTGTGTAATCGACCATTGCTTATAAAACATTCAATTGTCTTTGCCTAACATACGATCATTCATTTAATAAAAGTTTTTCAATATAAGTTTTTTAATATAATAACGTTGAGTTCGAGTGACTATTTCTTTCCTAAATGTTCTTTATTTATTTACTCTTCACAGGTCTGCTAACAGCACAAATCCTTGGATTTTTAAAAATAAATAATCCTTTACACTTCCACCCTTGCACCTTCGACTGTCTCTCTATTAATTAAATATGTCAACTTTAGTTGTTTTGGTGCATTTTTAATAATCATCATTGGGTCGCGTCCGAATGGACCGTAGCACTACAGGATCCAGACTCACTAATTCAAGGAAGCTACAAGTACAGATTCGGCCATCACGTTGTCACCTTCAGGAACAATTTCACTAATTTGGTTGAATTCATTAATGTTCCGTTTCTGATTACCAATTCTCCATACTCGTATTGTTCCGTGTCGTACCTATTTTTCAATAAAAGCTTTTTTTTTAACATTTCTGAACGTCTTGATGAAATGTCCTCTGCAATATGAAGGTTCACGTCTAAGAAGAATGCAGCATATACACACGAGGAATGTCCGCTATGACCTTCCCTTGCTCCACCACCTAAATCAAAACCATATTTTACTACACTTACTTGACCCCATTTCCCTTTGAATCTAGAGTGAAACCCTTCCATTCAAGAGCATATTACTGAACATCTACAAATCTGTTAATACCATCACCTTGCAACAGCAGAGTACATTCCAGGAAGAACACGGAAAACTTTCTAAATATTTTATACATTGTTCTCAGATATGGATATTGGCCATCATTATTGCTTCATTTCATTTTCAAATAAACCCTACAGTGGAGGGAAATGTGCGTACATTATTTAAAAAAATCGCTCGTAGCATTTGTTCTACAAGTATGATCATTGTGAAATGTGAACGATAAGAAAAATTTAAAAACTGCAAATGTAAAATCTCTCTCGCCCACTGTAAATGATGTACATTAATAAACCTCAAAGCTTTGAATTTGGAAGAGTATACATTAACAATACCCCCATAAATTCTAGATTTTCAAAGTTTCTACTCGACTGGAAATGGTTAAAGAACATTACTGCAGAAATGTTCATAGAATCATTTTCTCGTATACATTCATATATTGCGCATCTTTTTCAATAGCGTCAATATTTAATTCTGTTCAGAATTTTTCATGCATTATATTAGAACGGAAAAAAACTTTATGAATGAGGTACTATTAAAAGCTACCCAGTCATATCACTAAACAACTTGGAATAACATGCTGTATTTAAACTATTACACTGCTTATGCAAATCCAATGCTGATTACAACTACATGGATATATTTCCACGCATGTTAAATGCTTACTAAATACCAATGAGTTCAAGAACATCGAAAAAATCATTTGTATACATTTCCTAACATATTCCGTCAAACTAGTGTGTTTTGTGTAAAATTAACAAACTAATGCACTTGTTATACCATTCCTTTGTAAATTTTCTGAAAAAGCTGTGTAATTAAGAATCATAATTTATCATTGGTATGTTTTAAACATGGAATAATTTAAAAATTATTTTAAAATATTACATCAATATTAAATACTTGAATGCAAAACAAATATTCGAACAGTCCTTTATCTTATGTGATTTTCATTTTCAACATTATAGTAGCTTGGTTGGAAAACAAGATCCTTTTACTACCAACATTTCGTGTTCACTTCTGCAAGTTTTGAATATTACAAGTTCTTTATTAAAAATGAGTGTACCAGTGATACAACAGGAGCTCTTATGAAACAATGCAAAACTTGTCGCAAAATCAGGGGCTCCTGTTACACATTCACGAAGGTGGAAGTTACTTTTCGAATAAATCAAAAGTGGAGATAAATAAAATCGAAATTTGTAATAGAAACTTTTATACATGATCATAGAAAAAATATATATATTTCAGGAGTGAAGTTCTTGTTTTTTCCTCTCTAGAAATCATGCAAAAAATCAAGCACTTAATATAAAAATAACAATTTTATAGACAAACTGACAAACCCTACTTGTACACACGAATTAAATTTGCACTTCTTTACACTTCAGTCTGTGACCCTTGGCATTAGGCCCGAGAAATCCACTTAACCTTTCTTACTTTCACCACACTGCACAATCTGAATTAATTACGTTGAGAAGTGAGATCGAGTACCATCAAAAGTAAATGAGAAAATGAAATTAATTTTAGAAATCAAATTATTTAAAGTTTTATTCAACTACAGACATAAGCATTGGAGTTAATATAAATAAAATATTTATATATTTCAAAATAAACATAATTTATAAGTGGCTTTTTTACTAATTTCAACCAAGACTTAGCTGGTCTACTGGTATGTATGTGACTTTCAAATAATTTCCAATTATTTGCACGCCTATTCAAATGATTCCCTACCCAGGTGGTCAAGTAGAAATGATTCTTTTTTTAAATTTATTTATATGAATGGTTGCTTTATAACGTCAAAGTCATCAGCGACCCTTGTCATTATACAAATGTATAAACAAACATAATTGTTACAATTAAGGCCAGAATAAAAATGTTGAAGTTAATCATATTTTCACAATATGTAAGGTTTACAGTTCAAACATATCATTCAGCTATATAAGGCTGTACAGTTTTGTAGTTGCTAAGAATTTTATTATTTTGGCACGTTCATCTATGGAACTGAGTAATGATTGTAGGGTTCCTTCAATTTTTAGAAGTGTTTATAAATTATCAGTAGCAGGAAATTCAAGAATATGGTGGGAGGTGGAGAATACTGCACAACACTTTGGGCAGGGTTCTGGATCTGATCTCTTAAATAGATGGCAATGATGTGTTAAACAAAAGATGGCAAATAATTCTTTATTAGCAAAAAGATTTAACTATTCAAAGGTTTTGCAAGTTCTTTTGATAATCGTGTTGACTAACAAGACTAAATCTGAAAGGGAAGAAGCCATTATTGAAATAAGGATGGCTATGGAAAAGTTCAAATTCGTATTTCAAGTTATCTTGTTTCAAAAATTTTAAATTCTACCAATGTAGTTTCAAAGGTATTACAACATTTTAATATTGATTTGTATGATGCTAAACATTTATTAAACAACACTCAAGAATAACTACAAAGGTTAAGATCTAATTTTAATGCTAAAAATGAAGCTTTCAATCTATCTACAACTTGGAATGTAAAACATCAATTTTCAAACAAAAGAGTTAAGAAAACCTAAGCCATTTTCATGAAGTAGTATGTCAAGACAAAAGACTTGTGAGTGCTGAAAGTCGTTTCCTAATTAATGTGTTTCGTGTTTGTTTAGACATTATTGAATCATCATGAAAAGTAATAGATTTATTACTTTGATGATATAGCATGTACATTCAAAGTAATTCAACTGGGAGAATTGATGCAATAATCAGATGAAGTAATAATTGAAGCAAATCAATTGGTATCCTAAAGATATTTCAAATCAATTATCAGCCCAATTATTATCTTTGTGAAGTAGTTTGGTCAATAAAATTGTTATACAATTTGAAACAAGAATTAGGGAATTTAATTTTAATACAGTATTTTAGATTAATGACATAGTCATTTCCTAAATTGAAAATCATAAAAAGTATTTAAGGAATTCCATGGGCCACGAACGATTAAGTGATTTAAGTATTTTGTCAATTGAACACAACAAGACCCATATTTGGAGAAATCATTTGGAAGAAATTGTTAAAACCTTTCACCAATTGTAAAGCTCGTTGTGTCACAATTTAAAACAATGAAATCTAAAATCAACAAACCATCTATGAGTATTATTTAAAGGCATTTAGGCAATTTTTTGTCCCTTTTATGGAAAGCATCTTAGTATGAGACACTTTTTGTATCTTTTGTAATAAAAGGTTCTTCAATTAAGACAATTGTTTTGGAGTGTGGGTGGCCTCTGATGAACTTGTAATCAGGGCCCCCGGAAAGATAGTTCCGTCACTCGTTGCCTAATGGAATAGCGTGCATTATGGAATGAGAGGCATACAATTGTTACAAAATGGTATGGTGGAAATGTACAAAATTATGATATAACTATGGTACATTTTGTACATGTATATGATTTTACACTACAAAACTTTTCACTAAGCAGTGTATTCGGAAACTATTTTTAATTTTGAAATAACATAAGTTTGGTTTATTGCCAGTTCAAGAACTAATGTCCAATCTTTCTTTTAGTATAAACTCAGTTGTTCCTCTCCTGCATGCAGGCATACCAATTTTCAGGTGAGTGAGTGAGTGAGTGAGATTATCCTTATTATTTACACAACTTCATTGTTTCTCAATAAAAAAAATTGGTTGAATCCGTTAATGTTCCATTTCATGAGAGTAATATATTTTGATGGAAGTGATTATGATTACTCTAATTAATGTTTAAGTAAATAAAAATAAACCTACTTTCTTTGAGAATTTATAATTCATTATGCATAAGTATTCAGTTTTATCTTTAAAATTTATTTCAAAACATAATTACATTAATTAATACATTATTTTTGTAATGATTAATGTCCTCTTTTGTTGTTGAAACTTTTTGCAATTATTTTGTTTTAGAATTAACTATCAAGATTCCAAAACCTTGACGTTGGAGAAAAATCCAAACACAAATTTTTGAGAAAATCCTGACTTGAAAACTATCCTAATATATTTAAGAATAATAACAATTAGGCTTAAATGAATAATTTGCATAAAGGCATTATATTTTATTTTTTTGTGTAGTACCTAAAAGACAGCTACAGTAAGTGCCATCCACACACGTGCCAGAGTTATGAAATTCTTTCCATGTGCGACATTATAAATATAAAGAGACAGAGAAGATCGCACGTCGTATATGGACCATTACGTGAACCTGCGAAAGAAAATACAAGTAAGATAATGACTGCCATGTGCTGTGGAAACGAGGATGTTCCTTCTTTACAAAGTTTTACGGGGTCAGGAAAAAAGGGTATAAATTATGAAACTTATATTCACAAAGTACATTATATTACAAAGTATATAAAGTTTGATAAATACTGCAAATTCATTATATTAGTAAACTGAGATACCTGTGCAATATTGACAGTTTATTTTAAGTGCACTGAAATGTAACAAAAAATTAGAATAAAATATTTTCAGATCTCAGATATTTCGTGGCGTAATAATGTTGTCACCAGGGCCCAGCAATAGGAATTTTTGGGTTAAAAAAATCGCCGTTTTCCGGCTCGTGATCACAATATTATCTCTTCTTGCGGAAGTAAAGGCGAGAAAGTAAAAATAAAGTTCAGAGGGATATTACTATTTCCAGTTAAATACATGACTTAGGTGTTGGGTATCAGTAATTGTACTACAATCGCATATAATTCTGGCATTATTTACAACGGTTCCACAATAGTATACTACTACAAGAACCTGCAAAAATGTTTTCAATCAGTAAAAATGTTTTCGGCGCCGAGTTACGCACTCAGGTCCACCAAACTCGCCGTGCGTCTTACCGCTACACCACACAGACGCTCTCACGGACCAACATGGCCCGACACTTAAAAATCTAATTATCTCTCATATTATTTCCAATAAGCAATTTTGCGAAATTTCAGGGATATAGACGAAAATGAGACCTCCGCCATTCTTTTAAGTATCCCTGGTTTATTCGTGGAAACAATTTAGAGCAGTTTTTGAGATAATGGATCTTTTTAAAAATTGCATTAATTTCAAGCGCAAATTATATGAAAACTACTGTTTTTTTCCGAAAATATTACATGACTTTTCTGAAAAGTGGTTTTTTTTACATCACAATTTGTTTTTACGCAAACATCTTTATCTTCAATTTTGAAGGTTAGAAATGATAACATTTCCAATTTTCAAAAATACTGAGTTCGCCAGAATTGAGACTAGCATGATTTTTTTCTGTTTTTGATAAATTTGAGAAGAAAATCTAAAGAAAAACTACAAGATATTTTCGAAAAAAAAATTTACAACATTAAAAATATTGTCTATATTTTACGCAATATTACGCAAAAACTACACCTAATTTCGAAGAATTGTACACTCCCTAATTTCAATATGTCTTTAAAGAACAGTTTTCATGCAGGAAAAAAAATCTCTAGCATTAATACAGCAGTTGTAAAAAACGCCTTAAAATGTTAACTTTTGCAATTTTCGAAAAATCGGAGTTTTCAACGAAATTTTGACCTGCACTATTCTTTTTTTCCTTAACGCATCCGTGAGTACAGTTCAATAAAAAATATTTTAGCCATTTTTTTCTCTCGAACAAAGCAAAATACATTTGTAAAAATGGTGCAGATTGTATTTTCGATGAGTTCCCTGAATTTTCGAAAATTGCAAAATTTACAAATAATGGGAGATGGTATGTGCTTTTGTAGCAGCACTAGCTTTCTATGAGTTCGAGTTCATTCTCGCACGACAAAAGCTCATATTATTTTTAATTTTCTTGCTACAATGTCACACCTGCATAACAATCCCACTTTTAGGTTGAGGCTTCGCAGTGTGGAAACATCTAGATAAAATTGGCGTTGTTTGAGAGTTGCGAACTACATTCTCAATGCTCGAAAATTAATCGTAATACCTTATTCTGTACCTACCAAATAATGTGAACTATCTACATGAACCAATTGTATTGAAATTACAGAAAGGAGAGCTTAATTAATCGTATTGTGCTTACTTTGCAATTCAACCTTTGCCAGCCACAATCTTCTAAATATCTGGAAAGCCACTGTGAGTGGTCAGTGGCCTTCCACTGTTCCACTTTCCCCGTTAACCTGAGAACTGTAAACAGAATTTTCTTAGGAATACCGCTTGAACTTCTCTCCCTAACGTATGCATAAAGAAGGATTTGGGTCGTGTCTTACGTTTATTGTAGCAATATCTTAGCTTCAATGAGAAACTTCGTTGACTGCTGGGAACCGGAAAAGGAACACACTGTGGCGGATCCTGCTCGAGTTACAATGTAGTAGGCTCCAGTTGCATCTCGTCTTCCGAGTCTCGAGTGAAAGATTTTCTGGAAGAAACGAGAACATCGTGATTTTATCTGAGTTGCGCACAAAACACCATGGTTCAAATTCTAAACTATGCGAGAGCGATTTCATAGATAAGTTCATTTTCGCATACCTACATATTAGAGAAAAATACAACGAATATTTTATTGATCAAGTGTACATCATCCGTGTCATTATTTACGTTTCTACACAATCGCTACTATTATAAGAATAATGACATGTTTATGCCAACACATGGGGTCAAGCGATTATTGACTTGAATTAAAACTGTACAGGCATCGTGAAGAACTGAGAATATATACTTTAGATTATCTTTTGAACACAAATATCACCTTTCTTCTTAATATGCAATACATAAGGTTGCGAAATTTGCGATGTTCACCCGTGCAGACCATTTTTGTTTCATTGGTTTGCAACACGAGATCTTCATTCAGACGTGATGCCACTTTTCTATACGGATTGTTGCGATAGCATTTCGATATTGAAGAGCCATGTAATCTTTGCAGTCTATTTATTTATTATTATGGAGAATAGTAATTCAAGTTTTGACGACAGGCATAATTGTCAATTTTGAAGTGAGCGAAAAACTAGTACTTCACAAAATTTCAATATAAAGTATCATTTCGTGTCTCAATGTAAGGTTCAAGTCTCTCCCCTAATTATCTAATAAAAAAATTTACAAAATAACTTGTTCAATTACACAAAGTTCAGTTCTACTGTTGCTAACAGATGGACAGAGTATTTGCCGCAAACAACTTTTTCTGTATCAAGGACTAGCACAACGTGAATTCTTACTACACGTGTTTGAGGAAGTAATTTACTACTTATTGGAACAAAATGTATCCACTTTTCTGTATCAGTGGCCCACAAATAATTTTTTCTTTCGAAAAATATTTTTTTCTGTTGCAGCATTACTATACTCTCTCTATATTACGAAAGTACCACACTGCGTTAGAATTTAGATTCAAGGGTGAAGCACAATGCTCTGGGATGACACACCATGCCACAAAACACAAGTCCATGTCTTTAAACGGGATTCGAAACCAGAGCCCAGTGGGGCGCAAACGCCCCCTGCCACAGCCAGGGTGGCTGGGAGGTAAAAGATGGTCGGGAGAGCGACAGCGTCCTACTAAACACAAGCCCACCTAAATGTTCAAAACGGATTTCAAAGTCGCGACAATTCGAACCGATCTTGAAAGGGCGATCATAACCTCGCATTCTCGTTTAACCAGGTTTGTTGACGGACTAGCCAGAAACAGTCCCGTCTTGAAATCAACCGGGAAATCAACGAGCTTGCATCACGTCCTCCCATATAGTTACGTACAGACGGGATCCTCTTGAAACGAGAAAATACTGTAGGAACTGTGTAGCTGTAGCTGCAGTGCAGGCGCAGAGGTCCGGTGAACTTACTCGATTTCGGGGAGTGGCTGCAAGATGGGGGTTATGTCTTGTGGCGGCGGCATCGGCTGACCCACAACTCCCTCGAGAGGACACTGCCGTGAATCAAGACTCACTCCACACACTAAGCATTCACAACAGACAATTAGACTATTCAGTTATCAAGAAATATATCTATACTTTAACGGACATATGTTTTAGGGAAAAGTATTTTCGATAAATTGAAAACATTGTGAATTGTGAAAAGTACTGACAGAACAAGAGTTGTTTGCATTAAATGTATCTTCTAACATGTTCAATTACACATTGAAAGTGCTACAAATTTTCATTTTCATAAACTGTTGCTTTTAATACTCCGGAATTTCATTTAATCATATTAAAGACACTATATCTTTCAACTATTTATAGTTAAAATAAGGGGAAGGAATTCTGGAACTTAAGAAAGCGTGCTCAGATAATATTTTCCCCCTTACGTCACATACAGTTTTTACTGCTTTTTTGACTGAATAAATCTAAAATATCAGCCGGGGACAAGAAAAGGGAATAAGAGAAATATTTCCTTGCATAAGAATTACGTGATGTTTAACATCGTTTGCAAGATCAGAGATAATTTGCGTAAAAGGTAAATTCGCGGCTCAGAATATGAAGTTTTCGTCTGACATTTGAAGTGAAAAAAAATGTGATTTTGAAGGTTTGAAATCGCTATTATCAGATCTACAACAACAGTTTTCATATCATATTTATAGAACAACGTTTATGAAGACAGTGACATTGCATTTCGGGAAACTTTATTAGACATTTACAAGCTTTCAAAACGTCTTATAATATGTCCCCCAAATCGGATAGAACCCTGTCATTCTATTGCTAGGAAATGTAGTACATCTTCGGAATTTAATGCTTAAACCCTTGTTCCGAGGAAATACGAAGAGATAAGTGCCAGAGTTGCCTAACCCACTAGGGTGTGAACGCACTTTTCCTCTACAGCATGGCTCTGAACTATCAGTTGTATACAATGTTTATTTAATACTTTTGAATGATAAATGGTTTATTGGCTCAAATTATGTTTGACGTAATTTATTCGTGCATTAATACATTCACAAGAATAAAGAATTATGATACTAACAGCGCATCATTCAGAGCCATACTTCAAAGGAATAAGAGACTTCATGACTTTGTGGGTTAGGCAGTTCTGATACTGAACCACTCATCTTTGGTGAATGTTTAAACAAAAATATATATACGCTAATGTTCGGATTTACTCGTAGATAATTTGCGAATTATGCGGTTAATATTCACATTATTCAAAATCACTTCATAAAATTCGAAGTAAGAACAGCTTCGAACTTAAGCCGGATGAAGAGCAGATTAAACATTCACTGAGTCAGTTATAAATTTATAATTACAAGATAACACCTAACCTTACTGTATGCCTTCCGAGTAGGGGTGTCCTTCCGCCTTTGCAACACACATAAAACCACACATAACGCAAAACTCATTTCCATGCCAAAATACTTCTCAGCGTCCCATAGGTCGCCTCATACTCGACAATTACTTTAGTTATGGCAGCGCCCTGTGGCTAAAGCCAACGTTAGTCGAATGAAGTCCGAAATGATCATTCATACAGCTTTGCCCAATCCGTCTATTGAGCGAATTAACCGGCTAAAGTTTGAATTCGCCGTTTTTTCAGTATTAAGTCGCAATAAACTGAGGGAAAAAAAACTTATTTACAACTAAAATATTTCTGTATGCTGCATTCTGGCGGTTGGTGAAAAACGGCCCAACCAAGTATTCAAAATCAGTTTGCTGTCGCACCGTGAACATTTACACCATTTAACTACCCACGCCATTCACTTCCCCGAGAACCATTTCAATCGAATACGCCGCCTTTGTGTGAGATACAAACGCGTCGGCGAGCCCGCGTCGTGGGGCGTGCGCACCTCGGCCGACCCACTGCGTGCGGCCGGCGGCGGCCACGCCCCCGCGCGCCAGGCGGTCCATGGCGCCGGCGCAGGCCGAGATGGTGGCCGTGCCCTCCACGCGCACCGCGCACACCGCCCCCTGCGCAGCGCGCCAACGCGCGCCTTCGTTAACGATTCCGCGCGCCGCCGCCGCCGCCCGCGCCATTCGCCATGCAAGCGAACGGCGGGTTGCGGCGCCGACATGCACGTCTGTTTGCGGGGTGTTCCCCGACCAGGTATCTCCCACCAGCGGAGAACGCCTCACTCTGGACATGCTCGGAGCTCCCGGCTTGAGTGTTAGTGTAGTGCTTGTGTGTGTGAGTGTAAGGGGTGAGGATAGTGGAAGGAAGAGGAAGGAAAGGTCGCACGGAATTCGTTAGGGTGGTACTGGTCCGGCATTCGCCTGCTGTTGGTCGGAAAAATCACGAACTACGTATCTGAGAAGCCGACCGCTAGAATTCTCTTCCAGACAGCGGCTGAATTCTAGCGATCTAGCGGTCTAGAAACCTAGCATTGAAGCGTGTCGAAAATTCTGTCACCGTGGAGACTGGAACCCTCGGATTTCCCGGTTAGAAGCCCTGCAGTGACATTAATTGATGCTCTATGCCATCTAAGCCGGTACTTCGCTTAAAATGTTCCACATTCAACCTTCCTAGTTTTTGTCTGGGAGAGTCTTAAGTCTTGATTTTTGCGATGGAAACCCGATCAACCCCCCCCCAAAGTGCTTATTAAAATCCATTTTTTTACATGAAGATATTTTTTGTTTAATTCTAAAAGTCTCGTCATGTAGAACATTTGACTTTTTTTGGAACAAATTACACGTTATTATTTCAAGATGCCTTCGTTACATTAAGAACTGGAACCGTTTTGTAAAGTAAATCGACAAACAGTGAGAAAATATATAGAATTATTTCTGTAGGATAATATTTAAGCGAAAATATGTTTCCTTGAAAACAGAAAGGAGTTTTATTCACTTTTATCAACTATTATTAACATTATTATACAAAAACTATTTACAATACTTTGTTCTTACCTGTAAACAGAGAAACGAGAATTCAAGCTTACTACTACCGCTTCTCTATTTACACCACTTATTTTAATTGCGATTGCTCATAAACTTTCTATCTGTACTCGTGCCTATCTAAATTTCTTCTAATGATCGTACTTCTCATTCAATCTAGCGGTCCTTAGTCCAAATACGCGTTCAGCGCGACATATTCAAATTGAAGAAAATATATTTTCTTTTCTTATATGTGTGTGTATGTGTGTGTGTGAGTGTGTGTGTACGTGTGTATGTGAGTGACTGTGTGTGTGTGTACGTGTGTATGTGAGTGACTGTGTGTGTGTGTGTGTGTGTGTGTGTGTGTGATATCTGAATACGAACAGCAGTGTAAATAGAAACAAAATGACTTAATCAAAAGGTAATCTTTCGCAAAGGTACAACGAACGGTGTGTTTTCAAAGTGCGTACCTCTTCGGCAGCGAAGCGACAAGCGGCAGCGGCGGCGTCGATGAGCGCGCGGTCCTCGTCTTCGGTTGCCCCCCCTGGGCACAGCGGACACGCGGAGCGCAGCGTCACTTCCACGGGCACGCTGGACACGTCGGACAACGAAATGGACGGGCGGGTGGAGGGCATCTCGCTGGCGATCAACTCCTCGTCGTGCTCCCCCTCTTTGGCGCCCTCGTCTTCATCGTCCTCGTCTCCGCTGCTGTCCTCGTCGCGGATCGAGAGGTCGCTCTCGTGCTGGGCGCGCATGTCGTTCTTTCTCGCCATCTCTTCTTCCACGCGAACCTCCTTCGGCAACTCCGTCTGCACCACGTACTTCGCCTCACTCTCGTCATCGTCTTTGAGATCCACCTCGTCTGCCTTCTCGACGTCGTCTTTGGGCGAGCGCAAGCCCGTCGTCGCCTCCTCGTCGTCCTGACGAAGTCGGTCGTCGACCGCATCCGTCGACGTGACGGCGTCGCTCCCGCCTTCGTCCACGTCGGCGACGATGTCCTTGACGTCCACATCTGCGTCCAGGGTGGAGGCGCCCTCGTCCTCCTCGTCGCCGGCAACGTGGGGTCCCGCCGGGGAGTGGGTGGCGGCCAACGCAACCGCCTCGTGCAGTACGACCAACTGCTCGTACGAAAGAGTCTGCGCACAATAAGCCGTTGGCTACCGAAGACTCAGGAGGCCCATGAAGAATTATTAAAACTATCTATTAAGGTGGAATTCCATTAGAAAAATGAGATAAATAACGAATTATGTTTTTTAATATCAAATTCTCTAGACTTTTCTGGCCATTTTGATATACTGTTTATTGAAAAATTTGTTTTTAGTGTGTTTATTTTATTGCGTTTTAATGTACTTCAGCACAGATAGGCTGACGTATCAGGATTTCCATGGTAAACAGACGTAGTTCTGAAACCATTGTCTCTCGAAGCCTTCGATTTTCGCAGTTTTATATTCGGCTCTCTGTATACGCAATTTGGCGGGTATGTTGTTCTGTTTCTTTTCAAAGTTAAGTGCAAATCTCTCTCTCTCCCTCCCTCCCTCCATATCTCTCTCTCCCTCCCTCCCTCCATATCTCTCTCTCCTCCCTCCATCTCTCTCCCTCCTTCCCTTCCTCTCTCCCCCTCTCTCTCTCGTTCCCTCTCTCTCCTTCCCCCCTCTCTCTCCCTCCATCTCTCCCCTCTCTCGTTCCCTCTCTCTCTCGTTCCCTCTCTCTCTCGTTCCCTCTCTCTCTCCTTTTCCCTCTCTCTCTCCTTTTCCCTCTCTCTCTCCTTTTCCCTCTCTCTCCTTTTCCCTCTCTCTCTCCCTCCCCCTCTCTCTCTCCCTCTCTCTCTCCCTCCCTCTCTCTCTCTCCTTCGGGATAGGTTGGTGGGATAACGTGGTGTGTGAAAGAAATGTCAACTAATTCGACTCAAATGACAAAAGCAAAAGGTATCTCAAAATAATTTGTGAACAAAGGAAATAAATTCCATTATAAAGGCCGTGGAAGATAACAATGGATGTAATGCGGAAAATACATTTAATAATGAAATTTTAAACTCCATAATCTATTTAGTCAAGCCGCCTTTCTTCCCAAGATCTTAGATAAGAAAATCAGCAAAAAAGCCAGAAAAAGAAGAAAAAACTACTTCTAGGCATCAACAATAAAGAGCATAATTCACAATGTGAAACAGGTTGTTTTTACGTAAAATAATACAACAAATACGATGGGTTTAGGGGGTCAATACATAAAATATTCTAATTTGTGGACAGAATAACCAAATATATAGAGACTGTTGCGATACACTTAAGACAGTCATGAATTTCTCTCAGAATCTTTAGTTTGTGCATTACAAAACTCGAATAATAATTCTGTATTATGATAAGTTTGTGTGTGTTAAGTAAGCAATTATTTACGTGTTTATATTTTTTGATTTCCAAGTATGTCTACTTACCTCTAGACCGTTTTTATGTGCCATTCTGATAATATCATTCACATCAAATGGTCCCGCAATATCATCTTCTGAAACAACAGCGCAAAAGATTTCATACTATTGAAAGAGCGTTGCAAATGAATTCAATTATGAAGAAGGTAGTGAGAACATTCTTTAGAAAGATCAACGAAGTTCTCAGGTAACTTGTGGTGCTGCATCACAACTCATTTTCTGGCATTACTTTTAAGTTTAACACTTTTCAAAAATTCAGAAATTGCAACGAAAATTGACTTGCGCTATTTTAAGCGTCTTTGACTTTACAAGGTTTAGTTAAACAAGAAAACCTTATAGTAACCCTTTTGTTGGAAAATTTATCTACCTTAATTTTGTATAGAGCACACATTTCGTTAAGATTGATAGTTATGGAGATGCAAATTAACGTTGAAAAATCACCCATAACCCCCCCCATCCAGGTTTACCCCTCAATTTCAGAAGGTTTACTACAATATGCGCTGCGTACCAATAAACAACCATTCCAAACTCCAAATCTACGGGATTTTTTTCACTCGATTTGATGTACATAAATGATACTCCCTTGCCGGCTACGTTATTAACATTAAACATTGTAAAAGCGAATTGTAGCTAAAATGTTATTCCTGAAAAGATTGAGTTTCCCGTTCATTATTTGTGGGAGCGCAGTTTGACGTAATTCTTGCAACAGCAATCTTGTGCAGTTCCATAGGCAGCTTTAGATAACACGATAAACGATTGTACTCAAATTAGCATGCACATTTTCTTCCATTCAGGTGTGGTAGTCCCATGCATACTCTTATCACCAAGAGTGCATTACATTCCTTGGAGTTAATAAAGAAGCCCTTCACGAAAGCTGACCTTGACAGGCAGTTCGAGAGGAGTGGAAAGTGTCGGGACTTTGCGCCTGGTCGCGGTGCATTTCTCGATCCCGGTCCCGGTCTCGATCCCGGTCTCGATCCCGGTCCCGGTCCCAGTCGCGGTCCGAGCTGCGATCGCGGTCGCGGCTCCACTGGCGCTCCCAGGCGTAGGCGTCGCGCGGCCAGTCGGCGGGGCGCCGGTCGCGCTCGCGCTCGCGCTCCACGCGCTGCAGGCGCGCGTCCAGCGCCGCCAGCGTCTGGCGGTAGTCCTCCAGCACGCTGCGCAGCTGCAGCGGCGGCACGCGCTCGCCCAGGGCCTCGCTGCGCACGCACAACGTCCGGGCGCGCTTTAGTCCTTGCTCGTTTTCCTAACCGGGTTCAGTTAAACCATCGGGAAGATGATCCAGCAAGACCCAAGGTGAACGAAAAGCTACTTTTAACGACCGGCGTTCGCACGGATTCGGGCTAACCTCGTGCATTTTTAAGGGATCCGAAATTGAGATAACCTATTTACTTTCTCGTATACGTACGCATATACGGAATAACACACGTAATATGGAGAAAGTTGACAGACCGCCGATTGATAATCGAAACAAATGAGTGGTAGCTAAAGACGGCATATGAGTACTCTAATTTCTAAAAATGACATCCGTTTTTACGTGATTTCTTTCTTACAAGAAGATGGTGTTGCATTAAGAACTGAAAGATACCACTGATAAGGCAAATAACATTCTCGTTTGGTTATTTCATTTCTATCGGCCCAAAGACGTTACTAAATATTATGAAACAAGAATGTAAATCTAATCGCAACTTCTGGAAATATGCTAATAATTCTGACAAGTGAGCGATTATGAAGCTATGGTACGAATATTGCAACAGCAATGGGGTGTAAGACGTAGGAAAAACGGGCGAACGCCGAGAAAACCTGTCGACAACCCACTTTGTTCCAGCACGTTTGAGTCGAATCGGAAGGGGGTTCCAGCGGAGACCGTCGCGCAGAGAGGGAGGGAGAGAGAGAAAGAGAGAGAAAGAGAGAGAAAGAGAGAGAGAGAAAGAGAGAGAAAGAGAGAGAGAAAGAAAGAGAGAGAAAGAGAGAGAAAGAGAGAGAAAGAGAGAGAAAGAGAGAGAAAGAGAGAGAGAAAGAGAGAGAGAAAGAGAGAGAGAGAAAGAGAGAGAAAGAGAGAGAAAGTGAGAGGGAAAGTGAGAGAGAAAGAGAGAGAAAGAGAGAGAAAGAGAGAGGGAGAAAGAGAGAGAGAAAGAGAGAGGGAGAAAGAGAGAGGGAGAAAGAGAGAGGGAGAAGGAGAGAGGGAGAAGGAGAGAGGGAGAAGGAGAGAGGGGGAGAGATATTTTACCTGAAGCTCTTGAACGCCTTTGTCTCCGCCTCGCGGTCCTGGATCTTGGGCTGCTGGCCCAGCTTGGCCTCGCACCGGGTGCGCGCGCACCGCAGCCCGTCCGCGTACAGCCGCATGATGTTCTCCATCTCCCGCTGCAGCCGCAGTTGCTCCTCGCTCGCCGCCATCTGCAACCCGGTTCAAATGGCTCAGGGCGTCAATTGATGCCACTGCAGAGCCTCCGGCCGAGAGGCTTCCCACTGTGGCAAGATTATGGTCACCAGCTTTATATTGGTTATTTATAGCAGTTATACACAGTTATATATAGGAATTCAGCCGCTGCCTGGTAGAAAATTCTAATTTCAAACTGCTCTGATCGGTAGTTTTCCGTGGTTTCTCCCACCAGGCGAATGCCAGAGCAGTACCATAACAAACGGGTCACGGACCGCGCGAGATCTTCCCTTTCTCTTCCTTGACTTATCCTCACCTCTTACTTAATACATACATACATATATGCACTATACTACCATACATATCGGGGCACCACTCGGGAGATTACGACTGTGACGGTGCACTGCTGGTGGGAGATACCTGGTTGGTGAAAACCCCGCTACTCGACAAGTAGGTCGGGCCTAGATCTCACTATTCAGAAGGGGAAATCACTGCCACCTTCCGAGCAAAACCATGCGCTGCACTTATGGGACTAATGACAGCACTTTACTCACCAGGAAACACGAAACAACCATGCAATCAATAAATCAATAAAACGGGTCAATTCGTACAGTGCTGCTCATCAAATTAATGTTAGGAGTTATTTAACTGCACATTTCGAGTTTCGGCAAATTAATGTTCCCTAAATTTATTTAAAGTTATTTAATATGTTATATTGCCAAATAATTGTTTTATTAATTATTCTATGTTCCCGTTCTCAAGCATCACATTAGTGTATGTGAAAATGTGAACGTAGATGATGAAAATACCTCCCCCTAAGAACATCATAAATTTTAAGTCCATGCTCACCGCTGATTGCTAAGCCAGATAACGGATGTGATTCGTCCGCGGGGGTCAGTACAAATCAGTGTATCGTTTTTATTCGGGGACGAACTTTTAACATCAAAATAATACAAAGTTATTACGAACATGGTTCTGAAAATAATTGTTTACAGGGTTGCAAGATAATTAAAATTTCAAAAATTGCTTGAAGTGACTTGTGCTTTGTAAAGTGCTTTGATGCATGCCCTCATCCAGCACAGCTTGTAAAATTCAAGTTACACGCACTTTCTGAGCACTCATTACAACATTCACTTAAATGGGGGCTTGATGTTCTCTACATTTACTTTTTACTTACGAAGGGTCTAATGACCACTATTTACACTGGAGGATGTCATGACACGGAACCACTGCACATACTCGTTAAAGGGGAGGCTTGGGGCACCACGGAAATACTGTCTTACGTCTTAGCGAACTGGGCGATTTCGATGCTTCTCTTTGTCATGGCAAGTTCGTGGCGTAAGATAAGGAGAAAAAATAGAAAAGACGATTATTACCGACCTCTTGTCGGGGCCTTGCCCCCACCCAACGGCACGAAGCTTGCAACGGTCAACGAGCTGGTGACGTCGAATATACGTCTCCGTGCAGATCCGGGTTCTTCCACGGCAATGTAGTACTCGTATAAGAAATGGACGCCCGTAAACCTAGGCGCAGCAGCTTCAGTGTCCGTTTCTCTTCTTCGTTCTCACCACGCTCACCACTCCCCAATAGCACATATTTTCGACCTTCCTCTCTCGCGTCTCAAAGCCTTCTCTCCTGTTGCTCCCCACCGCGTTGTTCGGCTCGGACACTACAATTTAATTATCTAAGACTCTTTATAAATAGCGATGTCCAACCTTTTGCAGAGGGTATTACACGCGCAATTTGAATGTAGCGTTGGTATCTATGTCAACCACAGATAGGTAAATGTTACAATATGATGGATATTCATTAATATTAGAGACCTTCATATTTCGGACATGCTTAGAGCCCTTTAGGGCAGGTTCGATCATACGTTCAATACCGGCACAATAGTAACTACCCTTACCTTTGTTTGGAATTGCAGGAATTTGAGACACAATTCGACATTTACTTTTTCTTTTACTTCATCGCGTACATAGTATAAATAAAGTATTGTAACGCTGCTGCGAAAGAGAAAATGTTTCAACAGAAAAACTCGCCCCGTCACCGAAAAAGTAAATTATTATTGCTCCTATATCACGTTTTTTTTGAGGCAGAACTGCCGCCTGTGACTCTTTGAAACTTGCAATTTCTGTCCAGATAACTTCTTCTTTTGAGCCTGAGTTGTGAAAGATACTTTTCTACTTAAACTAGTGGTGCTAAAACAGCAATTACTTCCTCGACTTTAGTAATAATTATGTGATATTAATTATACTAGTTTAGTAAATATTTGTTTTTAAATAAATTAAAAAAATAAATTAATGTTTAATCATTTGAAATTGAAGCCTCTGGGGCATTTTCAAAACAAATAAACAAAAGTAGCTCCAATGTTTTTGAATAAATTTTGTAGTTCGATAGAATGAAGGACATTTATGCGAATGGTACAAGTATCATTTTCGTTAAAAAAAACACTGATTTTCCGAATGTTGCAAAAATTCAAAACTTTTTCTACAGTCTAATTTCAGTCCAAGAAAATTTATATTTTCAGTACATCCATCAAATTTCAGCTTAGCTGAAAATATGGTTACTTTCAAAGGTAAAATTTTCTAGAAATGAGGATTTTTCCATTGCTCCCAGTACACTGAGGGAAGTGTAATAACTCTTATGACGAACTTGTCGTTATGATTTGAATGAAGCGCGCTACGCACACGGTGTTACCGACTTGCACGTTTCCGTCCTGATCCACTAAAAAACGCGCAAACGTCTGCCTTCGGGCAAACTATGGCTTGCTATTTGGTGGATTGTTTTTACGTTTACGATTTTTAAACATTTAAGAATTAATACCTGGAAGAACACTGTACTCAAAATACTGTAAATATATAATAATTTTGTATTATATATTTTTTATTGCAACAATACATTGTCAATTGCAGTAAATTAGTAATTGACAGCCATACAAAATTTTTGAACAATAACTATTGTAATGTATTGTAATATATGTATAAACATTTTCAAATATAAAATGGTATCAATGATATGTCTAACAGAAAGAAATGGTATTTCCTTTTAAAAAGACTGATTTTTCAAATAAGTCATCAGATAATAAACCCTAGTTTGTAAATGTATAAATCCTGCAAAGGAAAACAGTCATTCAACTGGCATGTATGATCATATGAATGTATTTAAAATATTTATTTCAAAATACAAATTCAAACTATATTCTCACTATCTGTTATTTATATTTGTGATTAAATTATAACATTGTTACTCTACGAAAATGATTTATTATATAACTTACACCGTTGTAAGATATGTGTACCACAGCTTGTTGCTGCCACCATTAATAAATAAATAATAAAAATTCCAGTATTAAATACTGCCCAATCCTGTTCATTACAAATCGTAAAACATTTGGTGCAAAACCAACATAATTTCAAGAAAATATCAACATAAATTAGTCGATTATGACTGCTTTTCATACAGGTAAATCGTGTCCCGACAATAAGACGCAAATCACAAGAATGAACACCCGATTCATTGTTATCGAGTCATCGAAGCATTCTAACCTGATATTTCCTGAAAGCTAGCAGTATTTCAAATAGGTTTTAAACAATTTCTAAAAGGTTAATGTGCAAATGTATAACAAAAGGTCGAATGTAAGAAACGATCAAAGAAATATGAAATAATATACAAATTCTATCTAACTTATATGATATATATTCTATATACCTTATATGATCTATTTTCTTTATGCTATCTAACTTACGAAGCATCCAAAAGTCGACAATTATGTCCACAAAGCGCAGTAAATTCGGAGTGGGCGATTATTTTTGTCTCTAAATTACCCCAAAAATACTCATATTTTCAAAAAAGTGATCATATTGACCTTACTTTAAGATATGTTTTTGATACACACATTTCTTTAAAGAAAATAATTCTATTTTACAATTGTAGTTGTATGAAGACGCTAAAGACGAAGCGCAGGAAGAGGCATTATATTTCTGGCGAAATTACACAAAAAATACTCATAATTTCAAAAATTTCAACAGGATTTTATTTGAAAATCTGTTTTTTAAGAACACATTTTATTTTTGAAAAAGTTGTATCTTTACAATTGTAATTGTAGGAAAATGCCGAAATGTTTTCATTTTTTCGCAAAATCAGGCATTTTCACGATTATGACACCTGCACCATTCTCTTAAGCGTTCTTTATGCTATCTAAGGTCTCAATTTAATAAAAAAATGTTGTGTGACTAAGTGACTAATGTTTTCTTCATAGAAAAGAGGAACTTAACGTTTGTAAATAAAAGTGGAAACACTTTACATACATTATATGTAAATAGTATATATTCATTTTCTCATTTTGTATTTACTTAATTAATTTTTTTAGCCTTAAAAAGAAGAAAAAGCATTATGAGATCCCCAGAATTTTGATGACCGCTTATCATGCTCATGCATACTTGACACTACGTTTAGTCTGAGAATTCATACACAATTAATATTAAAAACATAAACACAAATTCTTGCCTCTATATTAAACAGTACCATCCTTAACGCTAAACACGAACGTAAAATACATGTAAACTCTAGTAGTAAATACGAAAACTTTACGTTGACGTCTTGGTAATTCAGGCAGGATATTCAATTTACATATTTTTTAAATGCAATAATGACGTGAACTTTCAATTTTCTAAGACTGGCAATGTACGTAAATGAATAACTTACTTGTGTAATATCGACACTACGAATGCTGGCGTTGGGAGACCATTTGCTACGACGCAGCTGCGAAGATGTATCGACCTGTTGCAAAAGAGTTCTCAATAAGGAATCTGTATTTAATTTACAAGATTTTTGTAAACATACCAGTATTAAATATATAGGGCAATGGTATGTAGTATGTTATTAAGAATGTTTGTTTACGCAATAGCCAATTGGTGCCAGGATCGCAGACCATCTTTTTTAAGGCTATCAATAACTAAAATTGGTGAAATAATGGTGAAGAAATTGAAGTCGTTCCTCGTCAACTTACTAGTTTATTCAGAGAGGCGGGTGTCGGTCGCTTTGCGGACTTCTGCCACATACAGCGAGGCTGATGATGACGGCAAAGCGGTTTCTGAATAAAAGCTCTCTAAATAAATCTACTAAGTTGACGAAGATGGCTTCCATTATTACACTATTTAATAACGTCAATACTTCATCAGCATTCCTGCAATAAAATACAGTTGTTTGTGTAAAATTTACGTAAAACACCTTTTGTTCTAGTCGTACTGTATTTAATACAAATTAACGAAAATAAATATGTAAAATATTCTTTTAAGAATTATTACATTTGACCTTCTCGTATATATACGTATAAGAGAAAGATGCATTGCGGCGTAAAATCGATTTCGAGATTTTAACGGAAATACTTGTTTTAGGGCCCACTGAAATAAAAAATAATCAACTTTCGGCTGCCTGTCCGCCCGTGCGTCAACATGCTTATCCGTCCGTCCATCAGCCTCTTAGTCCGTTAGTCTGTGAACAATACTAGGACTTAGATCATTCACAAGATTTTTCTCAAAATTAATATTCCCCCTATCGGTCTAGCCTGACTTGAGCCGCAGCGAATTTGAATCGAAATCTTTGTGTTTTGGGGGTACTTCAACTGACAGTGACATCTTCAACATTTTATCAAAACTCCAAATTTTGTCTATAAATTACTAGATAGAAAAAAGTGAATACGCTTTTATGTACTTTGGAATCTATTGCAAAAAATATAAAGAAGACGCTTTCGAAATGGCGAGTAGATGGAAGAATTGCCAGCGAGCCTGCATTTTTATTTCCATTCAAGAGGATTAATAAGCACAAAACTACTATGTTTAAGTTACAAAAAGTACTATGTTTAACCGCCTCCACCCTCTCTTTGCCTGCCGTCTTTTACAAATTTATTGTCCTACTATGATAGTTGCTGAAGGGTTACGACACAACTTCACATTGTTTTTATCCATTGCGTGCTGTGTTTCGATATCAAACCTAGAGGAGCTAGAGAATGGAGCTGACTTCCTCGCACTAGTTTCCTCATCTCTGTAGTGCATATGCGCTATTTTTTCGGTCAATTTCATTTTATTCAAAGAACTCATTCTGGAGAACTTATTTCACTTGAGAAAATGTATTTATCTTCAATATTGAAGTTGTAGGACGCCACCTACAAAATCGAAACTTTTGTAATTTTCGAAAATTTAAGTTAACAGGGAAAACGGTTAATCATTGCCGTCTTTAAAACTGTATTTTACACTGTTCTTACAATAAATTTGAAAGAAAATTGGTTCCATTTTTGAGGAAATTTTGAAAATGTCCTAACCCTAAAATCCAAAGAATGTTTTTCAAAATCACAGAGCTTCGGCTCAGGCCAGATCGAGAGGGTTAATTCATTTTTGAAATAATCCTATGCATAGTGTAGGCGCTAGCGTTTACAGTTCGGCAGACCGACTGATGGACGAACGTTTTGAAAAAAACAACCCTTTTTCGGTATCAGGGGACCCCAAAACGTATATTTCAGCTGAAATCTCGACATCAATTTTCCACGACATTTCAAAACTTTATCTGTACTGTATTATTGTGTATGTACACTCGGTGATCAAAAGTATCTGGACACATCCAAAATGGTGTTATGGTGTGGTCGCGTTTTTCATAGAGGGAGCTTGCACCCCTTGTTGTTTTCTGGGGTACTATCACGGTACAGACCTACGTTGATATTTTAAACACCTTCTTGCTTCTCACTGTTGAAGAACAATTCGGGGATGGCGATTGCATCTTTCAATACCTGTTTATACTGTACGGCCTGTTGAGGTGTGGTTACACGAGAATAACATCCCTGAAATGGACTGGCCTGCACAGCGTCCCGACTTGAATCCCATCGAAAACCTTTGGGATGTTTTGGAACGCCGACTTCGTGTCAGGCCTCACCGACCTCTCCCTTTCGGGACACTTAAAAATGCACAAGGTTAGCCCGAATTCGTGCGAAGAAGAGTTTATAATTGTTTGTTAGAGGTTAGGCGCCAAATTTAAACAAAATGCGGAGTAATTGTTAACCCTTAATATTAAATTTGTAAAATTTGAATTATTACATTTGATTTCGATTACATATTGAAACCATTTCTAACTTTATATACTTTACATCGATACCTCCCCTCAGAGCAGCACTCCGTGAAGAATGGGCTGCCGTTCCCGAAGAAACCTTCCAGCACCTGATTGAAAGTATGCCTGCGAGAGTGGAAGGTGTTATCAAGGCTAAGTGAGGGCCAACACCTTACTGAATTCCAGCAACACCGACGGAGGGTGAAAACGAACTGGTAATTCATTTTCATTCACGTGTTACGATACTTTCGACCACACAGTGTCCGTCCGTGCGTGTACGAGGAAGGCTGCAGGCCCTACCTCGCGCGCGCCGAAGCCTCCGCAGCAGCCCGCGCCCATGAGCGGCGGCGGCGCCCGGGGCCACCAGCGGCACCAGCGCCGCCCGCGCGCGCGCATCGGCGCCCCGCCCCACGCGCTTCGCACGCTCCGCTCCGCGTCACGCGCGCGCCACACGCACTCGCGCACGCGCACGCGCCACGCGCTCCGCCTGCGAGCACGCCGAGCGATTTTAAGGCGGCTCCGCGCATGCGGCTTTCTGCGAATCCTGAGCAACCGCTCGCCGAATCCCAAGTACTATGGATGGTTTGCTCGCTATTCGTCAAGCACCGAACATTCGATCTTAAAGCGGCTTCACACATGCGGCATCCGGCGAATCCCGAGCAATGCTCGCCGAATACCGAGTAGTGTGGACGGGTTGCTTGCGATTCGTCAAGTACCGAACATTCGGTATTCGCCTCAAAGCGGTTTCACACATGCGGCATCCGGTGAATCTCGAGCAACCGCTCGCCGAATACCGAGTAGTGTGGACGGGTTGCTTGCGATTCGTCAAGCACCGAACATTCTGTATTCGCCTTAAAGCGGTTTCACACATGCGGCATCCGGCGAATCCCGAGCAACCGCGCGCCGAATACCGAGTAGTGTGGACGGATTGCTTGCGATTCGTCAAGTACCGAACATTCGGTATTCGCCTTAAAGCGGTTTCACACATGCGGCATCCGGCGAATCCCGAGCAACCGCTCGCCGAATACCGAGTAGTGTGAACGGGTTGCTTGCGATTCATCAAGCACCGAACATTCTGTATTCGCCTTAAAGCGTTTTCACACATGCGGCATCCGGCGAATCCCGAGCAATGCTCGCCGAATACCGAGTAGTGTGGACGGGTTGCTAGCGATTCGTCAAGCACCGAACATTCTGTATTCGCCTTAAAGCGGCTTCACACATGCGGCATCCGGCGAATCCCGAGCAGGGAGCGTGCAGTAGGTCGCTGCTCGGCAAATACCGAATGCATGGTGCCGCCTTTATGCAGAATTCAAGGCCTTTGAACTCTCCATAAAAATCGGGGGACAAATCTCGAGGGTACTACTCTAGGAGGCGCTAGCGTCGCTGGGTACAGCTGCAGGTTAGACTTGTCAACTTCCACACATAAAAATTGGCTAAGTTGTGAAAAATTGGAGAAGTATCTTTAAATGTTCGATTATTCTTCATAAACAGATTTAAAAAACCGCTGAAGAAATCGTAAACATCGGCTCTATTTTTGTAGCATTATGGGCCTGTTTGCGTCCTGGGAACTCACGCATGTTTTAAGTATCGTTGGCAGCAGTTCGTGTTTTAGTTCTCGTAAGCAGGTGCTGCAGGAGAGCGCGCTACCGAAATGGTTTCCACCACGTTATATGGGAGATGAAATATCCTACAGTATTCTTTATTAACTGTTTGTCATTTAGGGACGTACTCACAATGAATATATGACGTTTCCAGTCGAAAAGAAGCAATGAACATGACTTTCCGTTAGACTAAGACATCCGAGCGTTTTTGGTAGGGAGAGGTTGAGGTTCTTTCCGATTGAAATCGGTTATACCACTCTTAAGCACTAGGGCCGACTCGCCATCGCCAAAGACTTGAATGAAACTGAAGGTCTCTAAAGCACTTTTGCCGATATTAAAACCAAATTTATCGCTCTCACGATGCTCTTCCAGGACCTTCATTATGCGCTGACACATTTGTACGAGTAACGCAGGCCGGCGCAGGCTCATACAAGCATCGCTAACGAGCGGCTATCGCAGTGAGGCGCACCAGGCGGCGTTTTAATTGTCATGGACACCGCTAAATGGCGCGAGGTGTCTTGCTTCAATCCGTCAGTAATTTGCGAGCACGTAGCTCAGTTCTTTCGAACGTGGATGCCAAAATCTAAATACACATGTATTTTTATCACAAAAATTTCCAAATTTCATTCATAGAGGTCGTCAAAGTTCCCAATTCGCAGCAAAACATACGAAATTTACATCACCTTTCACTGCAGAAAAATCCAAAGACGTAGAAGAAGAAAATTAGTTAAAAAAGATGCAAATTCCGACATTGATGTACACTGAGATGAAAAAAGTTATTCGATATCTCCTAGTATCGTGTTGGACCTCCTTTAGTCCGCCGAAGTGCAGTAACTCGACGTGGCATGGACTCGAGCCATTGGAAGTGCCCTACAGAAATATTGAGCCATGCTGCCTCTACAGCTGACCATAATTGTGAAAGTGTTGCCGGAGCAGAATTGTATGCTCGAATTGACCTCTCGAACACGTCCCATAAATGTTCTATGGAATTCATGTCGGGCGATCTGGTTGGCCAAATAATTCGCTCGAATTGTCTAGATTGTTCTTCAAACCAATCGCAAACATGGCGAATTGTAATCTCTATTGATGTATTTAGGAATTCTTAGCCGCCGATTAATTTATTTCCAAGCTGGATGACCGCCATAAGCTTTATAGAATGCTCAGAGTCTTGCTACTAATAGCGTTTTCAAAAGAAACCCACATGCCATTTTCTTGTCTCTGAAATTAAAATCTCCTTTCCTAATTTTTACACTGTATAATTTTGTGGGGATCCGAAAAAATTGTTCCATATTCCATTATCGGGCGAACAAGCGACAAATACGGAATTTTTCTCGTTTTCCGCACTATTTTTTAAGGCACGCATTACAAAATGAAGAGATCTCCAGGCCTTCCCTGCAACAAAATCTACGAGACATTTCCAGCTTCATTTACTATGAAAATGGATTCCTAGGTACTTGCGAGACGAACACTCAGAATAATATCGTTATTTAAACGATAATTTGTTTGTATGTAATTACTACCAAAAGTGATGGATTTGCTTTTAGAGCTATTCATGATCATTCTATTATTTTCCGTCCAGTAATGTAACGCATCAAGTTCCCATTGCAATCGTCTGCAAATAGCTGGACATGTGAGATTAAGTGCGCTTGCAGATCATTGACGAACGCTAAAAATAAAAGAGGTCCAACAGCACTCCCCTGCGACTTTCCTGACGTAACGCTGGACCCGGAAGATAACTCTTGGTCGTTTTGGACTTTCTGTTTTCTGTCTCGCAAAAATTCGCTGATCCAGTCACCACCCTGGGATCGATGCCTAAATTCATGTATTTCTGTACTACCCGATCGTGTGGAACGACTTCGAACGCTTTGACAAAGTCTATTATTGCGTCTACTCTCCCGCCCGCGTCATTTCATCTGCAAAATCCTGAAATAGACTACTGACTACCTGAATTTCGCATGAATAACCACTCCTGATCCCATATTGGCCATCATAGAGCCATTTTTTGATTTCCCATTCTTGCTTAGTGTAACTCGCTACTAGATGCTCCATAAGTTTGCAAACCACTGACGTAAGACACCGGCCTATAATTACATAATAAAGTTTTGTCACCACTTTTTTAAAAAACTGGTACGACAAAAGCTGATTTCCAATCTACAGGTTTTGAATTTTTGAATTGTTCATTAACGCGCGAAATATTCTAATGAGGTACGGTAATACCGCCTCTCTAGCTAGTTTAATAATATCCGTAAAAATGTCGTCTGGACCCCTTGATTTACCATTTTTAATAATTTTACTTTATTCTGTAGAACGTTTACTTCGATATTAAACTGTTCTTTAAAATAATTTTAAATTGTGGTAGCACTGGCTTACGAGTAATTACGTTCGCAGGCAGTGCGAGCCAGGCGAGGCCTGGCCTTGAAGTAGTAAGAGGGGGAGAAACGTCATCCATCCAAAGTTAGCTGAGTTCAGGGCATTATCTGCTGAGAAATTCCCCCGATCACCGCCTGCCGCTGGCCCAGTGAAGTAGATGCGCGCGCATCTCTCTTAACCAGCTTCACTACAAGCACGTTTTGTTAAACTCTCCTTATGCTTGTAATGGTAAGAGTAGAGTAAGGGCGAGTTGCTATTTTTTTAGCAATGCAGAAAAATCATACTTGCAATTCGTGTACCATGCAAATAAATTTTCTATAACTCAGAAACGAAAATGACTATTTTTCAAATATCGCTAATCTTACGATTTTTAAAATTTATTTATTTATTTATTTTACATATTTATTTATGTTAAACTTTTACCCACCTTTCAACTATTTATAGTTAAAATAACGGGAAGGGATTCTGGAACTCAAGAAAACGTGCGCACATATTCCCCCTCCTACGTCACATACAGTTTTTACTGTTTTTTGTAACTGAATAAATCCAAAAAACTAAAGATGATTTCACAGTTGCGGTTAGAGCAGTGCAGAAGCAGTGGGCCGCCGCAAAGGTCGCAGAAGAGTGTGCAATATGTGCAATGTTTTTGATCATGTGACATATTGTTCACTGTAATTTTAATTCTCAACATTCATTAACTTCTCATTTTTTCTTACCCCAGCATTGCTGGGGTTGAATGAACGTCGCTGTAGCACATACACCCACGAAACAACTGACAAAATTTCATGCACGGGAAGGCCTTCCAGCCAAAGACGCAAATACCCGATGCCACACACTATACACTAACACACTTGCAGTTTCCTCATATCTGGACTGAAGAGAACGCGAGGCCCTCTATGACACAGCACGTAACGCCCATGTAACACAACTGACAAACTTTCAATCCCAGAGGGGTCTTCTTCCAGGCAAAGTCGAGAGAACACAATGCTCTTCTCACAGAACATGCGAAAAACAAGGGCCAATCATTCGTGTCCTTTGCAGTATTCGAAACGAGATGTTGCGTCTGTAAATCTTTCAGTTACCCTGACTGTGCAGACTAAATTTGTTTTAATATATGATAGTATACTTGAAGTGCACTAGTGTCTACTCAAATCAAAAAACAAAAAACCAACATATTTCATATTCATAAATTTCCAATTCTACAAAATTGTATTTCTACAATAGGCTTACTTCTTTGCAATACATACTTATGAATCTTATAACCCTACTAAGGTATATCAATCTTATAACCCTACCAAGGTAATCAAAAGCAAACGAGATGTATTAAAGAAGAAATTTGGTGGAACAATACGTAAAACTAAACAATTGCACTGCACTACAACTCTACTGCAGAATAGCAAGAGAAAATAGTGTTTATACGATTATAATGTCCAAATAATTTGGTTTCATTAAAATTTTCTTTATGCAAATTAAATTACATATTTTGCTTTGATGTTTCGTACAAACTTATTAATTTGAAATATTTCTACAGTCTGCTGAATATACTATATATCAACCTAATACTAATATCGTCTCGTTATTGCTAGATCTTCCAGAAAGGGATCTAATAGCAAAACTGCAACTCTCGAAAATGGTTTGAAAGCATTACGAATATACTAATAACAGATATAACTATTACGGATGTAAAAATTAAACGTCTACCTTTGTGTTCTCCAGGTCGAATTCTAAGGTTTTGCAGGTATTTGTAGGTATTGCCTTTTCAATGTATCAGCCTGTACGCGTTTTGCGCGTGTTTCCTTTATAATGGAAAAAACTAGTGGCGTTGGTAGGAAAAGAGTAAAGAATGAGGAGGCCATGAAGTAAAATTGTACTGAAAACTATTACTAAAATATAATAAATTTATAATTTTTCCAAGTTGCCAGTTTGTATATTTTTATATCTTTCAAATGGTTTCTCTTTCACGCCTTTTAGATTGAAGGTATCCATGATACGTCCATTATTCGTGAATTATCGAATAACTTCCTTCAGAGAAGATGTAATGAGCACCTTTCCTTACTCTTCCACGAAGTAGCAAGATTTCAGGTAGTGACATCTCTGTAAGAGAAAGACTTCGCAAGGGAAACCAACGATAAAAATTAATTCCTGAGCTATTCTACGATTTAGAATAATTAATAATCGATATTTACAATACGAGTGGGAAAAGTGACATTTTATTTTGCGAGTAGGAAATGTTGCAACACGAGGTTAACAGGCCGAGTGGCGAAATTCTAAAAGAAAATCAGTTTTACCACGTGTGTAATGCTCTATTTTTAAACAACCTTACTTACTTTCATTTTACTTTAATTCAAGTATACAAATCACATAATGATACATTAAGGTTTGCAGTAGCTGATGGAGTCTGACGAAAGTATTTTCTTTTCTTTGTTGCATTCACAGATTTACTTGAACACTTGAGCATCGTGTTACTTTCAGCACTAGAACTAAAAATTGAATTTTTATCACGCTATCCAAGAAGCTCTTTTACACGTGGATGTCTATAAAAGGAATTTTATTTTTTTATGGTTTGCAACAAAGCCAACTTGTGCTTTATTGGCGCATCGACTGGCTAGGGGGAGTGCCCAAAAATGTGTGAGGATATTTATGTAACTAACCAACCAACCAACCAACCAACCAACCAATACTTTTTAGGACGTCCTAAAAAGTATATTCACTTCTCATAACATTTCAATTTTCACCCCTCCCCTAAAACAAACTTCTCAAAGGGAAGATAATAACTATATATCTACAAACACTTTTCTAATTTAACAAGTTTTACATTACTCTGTTTCTTAATATGATATATGGAAGTGAAGAAAGCGTTTATTTAGTTGCATACTTCATCATGCGTTTGAAGGAGAGAAAAGTCTCCAAACAAATTAGTTGAATATATTTTCAAAATAAAAATAATTTGCCCTCGGTAAAAGGCGACAGCAATGTTTTGTCAAATTGTTAATTCTAATATTACCCATTCGTGATACGATTTAAATTAGAAATGTTTTCAATTCCATGGTAGATCGAAACAAAATTATACTATAGTAAACGAGTTGCATGCACTTGTCCGTCCATCACACATCGTTAGACTCTCCCCCTTCCGATCCACTAATCGAGCCAAATGATGTGCCCTGGTGAGAAACGGGTCTTTATTTTTATTATTATTTTTTTTTGCGTATCCAATCAAAATATTCTAAGAAGTTTCCTCCAAACATGTCTTATCACTTTTCTTTCCTTTTTTACAGACTTTTTTAAAATCCCAGAAATTGATGAGTAATACTAAAAAACTAAATCGCTTGATGCTAAACTATTGACTGACTTAATGTCTCTCCAGAGGTGACCAATATCTAATTCTATTCCTCTCGTCAAGAGAATTCGATTGACACAATTCTTAGTCGGTTCTCTCTTGGAAGAATTCTTGAAAAAATATTTTTTTATGGTTTTGCGGCATGGAGTATTGTGTTACTCGCCTGTTATCACAGAATCGTAAAATTTCAATTTAGGATTAAACTATAATAATAATCGTATTCGTTCTAGATTCCCCAAGGATATTTTTCATCCTCTTTACAAATTAAATTTTATTTTCAAAATTGCCATTGTTATTAAATTAATTAAACATTTATTACATATCTGAATTATATTTATCAAATTGAAATCAAGGTAAAAAAAGAATTACCTTTTGTAAGCTGCTGGCATCTTCCTTGTATATTATTGTATGGCGATATTTATGTTAAACTTCCTCAAAAATTTCTTGAAAGAATTGAACAGAAAGAAAATAATATTGAAAAGAAGACACTGAGTAAAACGGTATATTTCACCTTAGTGATTGCTGTGTAATTGTTCACTTACCCCAGGGGTATTTACTTAAGACAATTCTTCTGAGGTATTGTTCCAACAACAGTCAAAAATCATAGAAGTCAATGGTTGTATTAATTTAAGCAAACATTAACACTAAAGATAAACGGAACCGTTTACCTTTATCACGATTGTCTCGCTGCGATTGGCTAAATATGTGATGACGTAATCATTCGTGCTGTAAAACCTAATGCGTCATTATTTGTTTCGTAAAATGCCCAATGATGAAGTATTGCTTGCAATAGAAAAGGTAATTTATAATGCTGGTAAACCAAAAAATTACTTTCATGACGATGTTGCAAAGAATAAAGTTCAAGATGTCTTTCAGAACTTTGTAGATTCTGTGGAGAACACTCAAATTTAGTCACTTGCCTTTTCTTCATTCCATAAAAAGTTAAGAATACTAACTTTTTGCTGAGGGTTAATTTCAGAGGTCACATCCACGAACATAATTTATTTACCACTACAAACATCCGACTCCGTAAATGTACTCCGACTGTGTTGATGTACACCAATTCATCATTTTCAATGTAAATAACAATTTCACACTACAGAAATTTCTGTAAGTGAGCTGAAGTGTAGTGTAATTTTAAGAGCCGTATTCCGATTTGTTTTTTCCAGAGATTTATTCAATCGCTGAAGGCTTATCCGGAATGGTCTCTAGTCCAAATCAAAACGTACGAACTCAAGGACGATGAAATGCGTTTTGAAGCGGTCATATCACAATATTTTAACATTTTTCGATGTGATAATAATTATATTTTCCCAGTTAAATGAATTTTGTTTTATGTGCTAGGGGATAGTTTTGGTGTTATTTCACAACTTTAAATGTTTTAGCTTCAAATTAGTAAACTAATCCAATAAATTGTTTTCAGCGCATGTTCTGATCCATTACTCTACAACAGTTCTTTACACACAATTGTACTATCACGAGTCTTACTTTTAGAAACTGTTCAATCGAAGAGTGGAACACAATGACCGCGACCTCGTTAAAAACACATACATTGATTTTAATTATTTAATCCTGCTTACGGCTTAAATCCTGAGGTCTGAAAAGGCCTGCTCCGAAAGGTCACTCGCTCTGGCCACCCAATCGCGTGCCGCTAGCAAGCATGCGAGTGAAGGAAACTTCCGAGGGGAGGGG